TGTGAAAAAGGGGGAAGGTGACGGGGAAGTCTCGCCGGGGACGGGAATCACGTTGGGATTGCAGCAACCCTCGGCGGTTCCCTCAACAGCGCTGACCAGCACGATCGAGCTGGGCGTGCAATTGATGGACGCGTCCGACGTGGAAGAGGAGCCGGAGATGAAGACAAAAGCGAGTTGGCCTCTGTTTCGTGTGCGTGGCTGCTCGTCGTCTGGGGAGTTAAAGAAGTCATCGCCGATGAGGACGTGGCGGACGACAAACAAGATGAAGGAGGGCGGTGCACTCCCTGCAAACCCTCACTCGGCCCACACCGCACAACAGCAGGCCGGCCTGATGGGCCGCATCATTTTGGTTGACAATGCTGCCAAGCCATTATTGCTGGGCCATGTAGTGGGTGAAGACCATCAAAGCTTGGACCGCGAGCCTGTAGGAGAGGAAGGAGTAGCTGGGCTCAAGATGGACTGGGAGGAGCAGCTTGGAGTTAAGTGGGATTCGCACAGACCAATTATTGGGTCATACAAGGGCATCATAACAATGATTATATTATATGGAGTTGGGCCACGAAAATGTGGTCTGAAGGAAGTTATTGGACATGGAGTGGGCTTTGAAATGCAAAATGGGCTGAGTTCTCCAAATAGACATGGGCCGAGTCATCATCAGAAATTTGGGTTATCAATGGGCTTTCTACTTGGATTTATTTTGCAGGGACAAGAGAGGAAGGTAGAAGTAAGTGGGCTTATTGAGTTAGAATGTTGGCTTCCAAGAAGGTTTAATTCAAACCCACTTGGAGGACGATGGAGCCCAAATGGGTTGGTTTTCACCACCAAGTCAGTGGAGGAGTGCAATGAAGATTTCAACGAGGTTCGTGATGAGAAAGTGCTCAAGGAAGAACAGTTCTCCGACTCTTATTTCGTGGACTTCGAAAGAGAGGAGGAAGAATTATAGAGCTATGGAGGACGTGGCATATGTCTCGTGGGTGGAGGAGAGTTGAGGAAAGTTGGACTGACGCGAGAAGAGTTCATTCTTGGAGTTGAGCGCAATTGGAAGCGGAGAAAGCGGAGGGTTAAGAAGGCAAAATGCGACTGCAACCTTGAGGGCAAGGTTGATTTCAAGAGGGGTGGAATGTCAGATACCCGCCCAATTGGAGTTTCTATTATTATATTAGGTAGGATAATAATAATTATGGTTAGTAGAGATTTAGTCGGATTAGGATTATTATTAGGGTTTTCCAGTATTTCCCTATAAATATGTACTTTGGGTTTACGTCATAATCAATCAAGAAGAATATTAAGAAGAATCTCATAAACCCTAGTTTTCCTCTCAACTCCTAATTTCTCTTCTCAACCAATCCAAGGCCTTAGCCGATTCTTTATCTATTCTATTCTTTCTCATCTAAATCCCTAATTTCTTATCTGAATTCCTAAATCCCTATTCGTTACGAGTAATCGTGGGTGCCGAAGATCAGTCCCGAGAGACCCTAGAAGCGGGTTTCTCATAAACTCCATGCACAAAAACTAAAAGGAAACTTCTTACCAGTACTCTACAATATTCTCATAATTGTGAATGAACACTCACCAGTCCACTCACCACACTACCAACAACAGCAGCTTTAGGATTAGTTGAAGATATATGGACATTAGTTGTTTGTTTAGATTATTGTCTACATATCTCAGGGCAAGTAATGTAACAGTATGATTGGTAATTGACACCAAACAAGCAAAGGAAAGGACCCATCTTTCTCACACCCTTTGTCGCTGAGAAGTTATGTTTTCTTCTTCGTGACTTCTAGTGCAGTTCCCTATCCATGAGTTCAGATGTTTCTCCAAAATTTCCCTCCCCTCTAGAAGTACCAGGGTTTTTTTTTTTTTTTTTTTTTTTGGGGTGGGAGTGGTTGAATAATACCCTAACAGCATTCTGATCAAGGGGAAACGATTCCCAGTCTCAGGACAACCCCATCCATCTCCAAGGGAAGGCAATGGCGGCAATGATTCTCTGCAGCTGACTATGTTATGCCTGTGAAAGGGCGACTAAAAGCCTTCTTTCTATCTGTCAATATTATTAAAAAAAAAAATTCTATCTGTCAAGTGTCAACACTTCACAGTCAAGTCATGGAACAGTTGAGAACATGCAGCCAACCAGTCCCGGAACAGTTGACTATGTTATGCCTGTGAAAGGGCATCTTAGTGTTGAGCAGCTTAGTCATGGAACAGTTGAGAACATACAGGACAATTCTCTTACAAGAATGGAAATCTGCAACCAAAAGTATTTGAGATTGACTAATGACCTCCAACATTTGAATCTTGCTCAACTTGAATTGGCAACAGAATATTATTGACTATTCCTTTTATGGTACTTTCCAGATATTCACCAACTCTGTGATGCTTGAAACGCACCATCACTGTGAAAAGGATTTTCCACAGTTCTCTATCACAGTAAACATATACTTCTGTACCTAAAATACAACATTGCACAATTCAGAAAGGGAGAAAGATACAACAAACTCTACAGTCTACAGTATCCAACTACACAAGTTCAGGGTCATGACTAAGCTGCTCAACACTAAGATGCCTCAACGAGCTAACAGTCTGATCATCCGAGGATCGGAGTCTACCAACTCTAGTATGCATAAACTCGAACGAAGGACCATTAACCACCTCAGCTACCAAGTCACATTGCTCCATATCATGAGAAAAGTTTACCAGTGCCTCTGCAACGTTAGTTCTCACGTCCATGTCCTCCGAATGATCTCCCAACAACCCAATGAGAATTGGAACCGCACCAGCCTCGAGCAGTGCTTCTCGATTGGCCCGATCATAGCTCAACTGAGAGATCGCCCCAGAGGCACTCCCCTTTACATCCAAATTCCCATGTCTTAAAAGCTCAACGAGAATAGAAATTGCACCAGAGTTTCTAACAATAGAAACGGAGGGTTCATAGGTGCCGAGATTACAGAAGACATTAGAGGCAGCAACCTTCGATTCATCATCACCTTCTCTTAAGATCCTGACCAACTGATCAGCAATGGCGACTGCATTCTCCTCGGCAATGGCTAATATGCAGAACGCATCCTCTGCAATCTCTTTACCAATAGGGTCAGGTCCCTGAAGCAGGTCAGCATATAGTGGTATAGCCCCAGCCTCAGCTGCCTTCCTAACAAAATTCACATGTGATGATATGATGCCAAGTGAATTGCCAGCAGTAACCTTGGTTTTACCATTCCCATCCCTAAACAACTCAATGACTACAGGAATTGCTCCTAGATCGAAAAGCATACACCGAGCACGCCACGACCGACCAAGCAATCCAATGGCCTGACAAGCTCTATCCCTGGATTTCATCCTACCCCATTTAGCCGATTCAATGAGGAACCTAAGGCCATTCAACTCAGAAAGCCTCTTTCTCACCTCTTTCAACAATGCCAATGCACTAAAAATCTCTAGCAGATAGACCCTCTTCTTGCCGCAATTATCTTCCACACAAGAATTCAACATATCCAAAATGATCTCCAGACCACCATTTCTAGCCACAGTAACACGATTCTCATCCGCAGAATTAACGAGGCACCAAAGACACTTAATCAGAACCCTTTGCAACTTATCATTTGACAGAGGCAACAACCTCAACAGACAAGGGATAGCACCAGAATTGCCAATCTCCACAGCCAAGGAACCCTCACCTCGAAAAGCAATGCGCTTTAAGCAATACACGGCGGCTTCCTTCACTGAATAGGTCGAGCTGTTGTTACTGTGAAGAAGTCCGGCCAAAGTTGGTATCGCCCGAGCCAGAACATGCTCCGGCGCATGGTCAGAGTAACGGGTCAACTCGATCGTGGCTTTCAATTGCATGGCCTGGATTTCCGATGATGCCGCCTCCTGGTAGCGATTTAACAAAAATTCCCACACTGGGTCGAATTTTTCATCTGTTTTATCCCGACCCATCTAGGAGAATTCGAGGGGATGGGATTGCAGAGTGAGGAGGGCAGATATCAGAGAGGGGCGGCAAGGTTTTGTGAAGAATAGAAGCGGAATTACGCGGTGGAGATGAAGCAGTCGTGGGGTCGGAACAAATGCAACTATGCAAAAAAGAAGAAACAGAGAAATATGAACGCGGGCCGGAGGAGTATAACTGACAAGCAAAAGTCCGCCAAAGGCAAAACAGTCTGTTAGAAGTGATGGGCCGATGGCGCCAAGGTGTGTATTATTCATGACGATGTTGGGCCGTGGGCTTTTCCTTAATTTTGATCTTTTCTGCCGTTCAGTTGGGTTCCTGTATTTAGGCTATGTATGATATGGTATGAAAATAAAATTGAAAAGAAACGTTTCCCAAGTAAGATACCCGTATTCATTTTCGACCAAAAGAAAGGCGAGATGCATGTATTATCGAGAAAATATAGGGTTAATGTTCGACCACAACGATGTGCTATCAATTGCATCTAATGGTTTATGACCTTATACCGGCTCTACTTAATTCAATACATCTCACAGGTTACCCGTAAAAAAAAAATGGTTTATGACCTTATGGCAACATGATATGAATATGTGCTAGCCCTTATCAGGGGAAAACACACTGGATTAGAGATGACAATTCAAATCTATTATGATGGAATTTCCTTATTCAATTCGATTCGTGTTGGGTGGATAAAATCCGACTAGCGGTAACAGCTAAAATAGAGAGAGCATGGATACCTCTATTGGCTCATCTCGTCTCGTCTTGCCCAACTCCATCCTGAACACTTCACACTACACTCATAGAAAATAATTTTCTTAATTAATTTCATTAACCAAAGTGTAGGTAATCAACAATTTTATTAGCAGCATAGAAATAATATTCTTAATTAATATAATTAATCAAATGGAGAAAGGAAGAAATATTGCCTTATTTGGTATTTTGTTTTGACAAAAAAATCACTTGCTCAAAAGTTACTCCGAGACTGAAAGGAGCCAAGCAAGAAAATCTTTCTACAATCTCCTATACAATCTTTCTAACAATCAAATTCACCTCGGTTATAGGTATAATATGCCCCTCTATTATGATGTTTTATCAAACATGCCCCTCTACTATTTTTTACATAAAACATGCCCTTGTACTTTGAAAAAATTATCAAATATGCCCTTCTGTTAAACATTCCATTGAAAAAATCGTCAATCATGGTTGAACCATGATTTAGACTACCCGACATCTGCAAATGTGGGCAAAAATGTCAGTTTTGTCACTCGTTTTATTTCTCTGAGTCTCTTTAAAATGAAATTATTTGAATTATTTGGCTATACAAAAGAACCAAAAAAATTCTAAATTGAAATTATTAGGGATATTTTAGACATTTGTGTCACCCAAACCAAAGTTCGGCCTTGGTTAACGGTTTTTGGATGAAAATTTTAACAGAAGGGCATGTTTGATAATTTTTTCAAAATACAAAGGCATGTTTGATGTAAAAAATAATTGAGGGCATGTTTGATAAATCGTCATAGTAAAGGGCATATTATACCTATATCCCAATTCACCTTGTCAATCACTATATTCGCATATTATACCTACTAGAATCAGCACCTGCTGCTACGCCGCAGAGAGTAGTTAATCAATGGTTAGTCGTATTTAATATATTTTAGAAGTACTATGGGAATAATAAAATAAAACTACAAAAATGGACAAAAACACTCCCTTCCATTATTTTACCAACTCATATGACTTCAACATAATGCTTACGGAGATTGAAACTTTAACAATACTCAGTGCTTGTATATATAACTTAGAAACGAAGGATAAATATTAAAACCAAATACTATCTAGTCTAGTGCAAAGGAAAACCACCAACACCAAGATAGGAAAAAGATAGCAGGTTTAAAGAGTGAATTCATGGCAGTGGCAAAGTTTTAACTGTCTATTCTATTCGAGTGGACAAACCTCGAGCCAATCTTCAGCAGCTCCGGTTGGCCCTCCTTGGTGATTTGTTGCTTGAACAACCCATATATGTATCTGAGTCATGAGTCCATATCTCCATGGAAGTCGCCATGGAACCCAAAAAGTGAGAGACACATCAAGGATTAGCTGAAGTAGCTAGCTTAGGTTAGCTGGTTCTAAACTCTAAAGTGGTTAAGTATACACTCAAGTTTAAGACTACTCCACTCCCACCATGTTCCCATACCTGTTGCTTTGATCTTGAATAGAGAACATTATATAAAATAGCACCACAATTTCAATGATTTATTCTCCGCAACAAAGTTTTAATCTGGCTTAACAATCAAGATTGCAATATTCCATTGGTTAAACTAAAGTTACAATCAGAAACACAAAAGAAAAATAGCAGGAGGGAGAAAGTCATCTTGATTTGCACCAAGTAACTTCAATTAATTTAGCTGGCAGTTTGATGGGCAAGTAATCAAATTAGCTGTGTATTTCAGAGTTTCGGCATAAAATAAGAGCAACAGATAACTCAATACAGCTAAAGCCAGTCGACGTACATGAATCATACAAAGAAATCACTGCATCCTATCAACTACAGAAACAAAAATTGAAGAGTATGAGTCATTTCAGCCTGAGCAATCTTTGAAGCCCCAAGGAAATGATCACAGATCCTACATAAAAACAGCATGAAATCCACACTCCATGCCCTGCATCAGCCTTCTTTCCAACTGTCATGAACTCTGACTGAGCCGTTTTAGAACGCTCAAATCACACATCTCCCTTTTGCGTATGAACTTCACAAAAGCAAAACCCTTTGGCTACCTGCACAAAGCCAGTTTGTTTTAAGAATAAAGTAGTTGGCATTTTAATAGAAAAACAGGTGTTTGGTAACATAGATTCAACCCCAGTATCATACTTCTGGGGCACAAATACATTCTCAAACTCGAAGCATGAGCAGGATCCTGCATTGGATTTATTCAGCAACTGAGGAATTTGAGACACACCACTGATAATGTGGAGATGGTACTTTTACCAATACAAATGCCATAGAGAGCATACTGTAGGAAAACTCAACAAATATATATAGGTAAGTAGGCATCGAGTGCAATTTTCCTAGGCTTCCAAAAATCTTAAGAATCCTGCCAAAAAAAAAATGGGATGATAGTGGATTCCCTTATGAGAGGAGCACCAACCAAGACACAGGAGAAGGGGGCGCAACTGACACAGCTTTTGCAGCAGTTAGGGTTGGAGATTTTGTCGCGGTTATCCTGTTCCGCATCCTCGTCTTCTCAACCTTTGGCCTCGTCTACGTTCTGAATCTCGCATTCGTCATCATTATCGTCACTGTTGTCAAGGAAAAGAAATGAAAATTCACTGAGAGAAAGGGAAACCACATAGGTTGGAAGAAGAAAAAGAAAGAGGAGAAGCAACTCGTCATTCTCCAGCTTGCCTGATCGACTGATCCCCACACTGACCTTCTTCGTTGACTCCTTATCCACAACTGGAATCAGAACAGGCGCCTACATCGCCTTGTCGAACTTGCCCATAGGAAATATGTTTGGTTAGTAGATTAAATAAAAGAAAGAAAATTGAAGAGTAAAAGGAGGAAGAAGCATAAGAAATCGGATAACTAACCCGAACAAATCCACAGCCGGTTCTTTCATTCCATCCTGAAACCTACACACCGACGTCTGAACCCAAAATTCGCCTGCTCACCTTTCCTTCCCACTTCCAATGGAATCTGCCTTTCCCCTCTTCCTTCAGTCGATGCCGTTGACATCCTCCGGCTCTGCATACGGCGACAATGATTCTACAATCAGGAAACAAAGATAAAAGGGAGCCCATGTGGATTTGAAGCTCGGAGAGATCAAATGATCCTCTTCCGATGACGGCAAGACGTTGATCTGAAGCTCGTAGTGAAAGATAAAAGGGAGCTCAGTTGCAACTGGTCCTCCCCGCCGCTGCACCGATTTCTGACTCTTCATTTGGAGTCGAAAGAGAGAGGAAGTTTAAGAACATTGGGATATGGATGAAAGGTTGACTGATTGAATGGTGCAAAGAGATAGAAAGATAATTTTTGCTGGAAGAAAATTGGAAGAGATGTGATTGGAGATGGAAGAGTGTGGGAGAAGGCTTTGGCAGAGACTGGGGGTCGACGAAAGTGAAGGATAAGGCGTGAGAAAATGGGCAGAGATGTGATTGGAGAGGGAAGAGTGTGGGAGAAGGTTTTGTCAGGGAGGGGGAGTCGGAAGGTAAGGAGAAGGCGTTCTTTGTGGAATTCTTTCACCAAGCAGTTTATGAGGAATAGCAATTGCAGCCTATATGCTAAACGACAAAAAATGAAACAGTAACAAAGATGTTGAAGCAATAAAGTGTACCCATGTTTCATATGTAAAAGAATATCCCAATTCACCTTGTCAATCACTATATTCGCAACCCCTTGAATCAAAACCTCTTGAAGTCTCGCCTCCACACATCGACGAACAACATCCCAAAACACCCTTTTTATTAATTTTTTTATTTTTCTATTGTAAAAAGAACTTTACCCGCACAGGATAAAATGAATTAACCGAAATTGGGAATCCGGCAAAATAAGACCCACCCAGACCCAGTACCTAGTAAGAGAAAGAAAGCATAAGAAACCCAGCACAGCAAAGTACAGCGACACATGGCAGGCGTGTCTGCAATCCACAACCCAAGAACCCTACAATCAAACATCCTCCTGGGAAGAATGTTGTTCTGGGAATAATTTCGTATCGAACTGGGCAAAGAATTGCGATTCTCTAGTTGGATATTCTTGTTCTTTTGCTGTTCCCATATAAAAATGAAGTTTAGTTGAAAAACGAAGAAATTGGGGGAAACAAAACAATACTATATCACTACCACTAGAATATTAAAACCCATCATCAGTGAATGAAACAAAACAATACTATATATCACTACCACTAGAAAATAGACCATACCGTTGCAAAATAGTGGACGAAATCGAGCAGTATAATTTGATCCGCACTGTAGATTGTTCAAAGTGATTTGATCTGGTTCATGGTCTATATTATTATACGATGTTTTGATTTCTTAGTCTTCTTTGGTCTAGACCGCGGTTTATCGGACTAAATCATGGACCCAGCTGACTTCTCAACACGTGTAAGCATCCCACTCGACCACTCTCCCAATTCTCCCTACGAGACCCAAGTCTCAACCCTAATTTTATGCATCTCGTCCCCTCCTTCATTCACAACCACATTTCACCAAAGAGTAGAGACGATCGTGTCTTCATATGAGATCTTGTTAATGTTTACGTCTTTATGATGCAAGTTGGGATGCTTTGACTTTGTATCTTTATTATTTACTGAGATTTAAAGTATCAAAATTATTAATGCATGTCTGAATTAATGTTTTAAGGCAAAAAAAAAAAATTTCTCGATTATTGATTAAATTTTTCATCTGATTGAGTAAACAACTTGTTCATTTTTCACTCATTATGATCTATCCAACCGTACCGAACTAAACCGTACAAATATGGTTTATTCTCTAGTCCATACGACAGGTTCTCGATGTGAAATTATATGTTCTCGTTTGATCTGGACCAGACCCCACCGCAGTGCTTCCCGCCCTACTCTCATCATGAGTTTCAAGTTTCAACTATTTAAATATTGGATACGGAAAGGTGTTTCCATCATTCTAAGAATAGACCAATCTGATTCAAGCTCAAGTATTGGGCCCCGAAGACGGTGGTGGAAGTGGAACCAAGAAAATATTAAAATGGAGTTTCAGTCTGGGTTTCACTGTCACCAAGCAAACGGCACAGAGTGGGTTCGGTGACGTGTTATCAGGTTGGGGGGCCGGGGATCGGGAGTGGACTTACTTGTCGATTATCAATCATCTCCATTCCTGTTTACTTTTCATTATAGTTAAGAGAGGGTGAACCGCCGGCCAGCCAACCATTGGCCTGGAGCAAAGGCGCAATACAAAAGGGAACCCAACAACAAAAAAGTCTGTGGGGGGAATGCACTGATAAACAATGGAGTTTGTCGGCTAGGTAAAGCACGGCGAGGGGTATCACCCCCCAGCTTGATTCCGTAGATGAGGCGAAGCTTTTAAGGAAGTGGAGCGGTGGGAGAGAAACGGACGAAAGTAAAGGCAGTTGTTGCGCCAACACTCCCTCTCCCACCAAACAAAATCTCTGTTTCTCTGCCTCTCTGTGTGTTTTGATCATCTTCCGCAATTCAGCAGCAGTAGCGAGGAATTTTGCTTGATTACAGTTAAAAGGGTGCGTGACCATTTCTCTCTGTTGTACTTGTATCTCCATATTTTTACAGAGAATTCTGTTTGGAGGCCCCCCAAGTTCCCAGCTTTGAACGTAATCTGTGATAGTGTAGTGTTTCTTCGGAGAACCCACATCAGAAATAGTTGTTTCTGCAGGTTCCCTTCATTGTGGAATTTGATCGAACGGTTGGTGTGATGGAAAGAGACCCCCTTTTTTTCTTTTGTCTTCTTACGAGTCTGATTCTCCCACTGCTGCTAAGCTCCCTCTGAAAATTTCATCAATACTTCAGTTTTTGTGATTGAATGAATCCCTTAATAATGCCAAGTTAGTGGTGGTTACAATTCTGCAGGGAGCATGGTGCATACATGCGAACTGAAGCAACAATAAAGAACCACCCTGCTTCACTGTAAAAAAAAAAAAATGTTTGTTTGCTTTTCAATGGCAGGGAGTCAACCTCCCATGTCTTCAAACTCTGTGTTTCCTCTTGTTCCTGCTGCTATTCCAGGTCCAGCTTCCTTCTCTTCACTTACCTCAATGATGTTCCTTTCTTTGAATAAAACTTGCTAAGTTAACTCAACTTCAAACTTCTCCCTCGGCTGCTCTCCTTGTGCAGCAACATGTAGAGAATCTGGATCACTGCTCACCACAGAGTTCAGCAACACCAACTTGGTATTCCTCTATTTCCCTCTTCTTCATTTTCTGTTCTTAATCGCGTTATTTTCCCATCCTAATCACTGCATCACAAGCTATCTCTTACCTTTTGTGTGATGATAGTCGATAGACATACTACTTACAAATTAAGCATCATCTGTTTTGCAGTTCGTGAGCTACGATGACTCGAGAAGGATACAGCGGATAAAGAAGATGTTTGATGAGGCTCAACTTTCAGTGTCTGCATACGACACCGCCTGGATGGCAATGGTCCCAACTCCTACTTCATCCATGGAAGACTCTCCTTTCTTCCCTCAATGCGCTAGATGGATACTGGACAACCAGCTCAGTGATGGCTCTTGGGGTCTCCCACTCCCTCGCCGTGATCCATCCTTAATCAAGGATGCTCTCTCCTCTACCTTGGCTTGCATTCTAGCTCTCCAACGTTGGGGCCTTGGTGAACAACAAGTCACTAAAGGTAATAGTATACAACTTACATTCCTCATCTAGTTAGTTCAAATAGAGATCGATTGTAATTCTAGAATATTTATGCACACTTGTTGCTGCCCTGTTGTTGTAGGCATCCGGTTTCTTGACTTCAATTCTGCTTCTCTAAAGGATCAGAAGCAGCATGTACCTATTGGGTTTGACATAATATTCCCTGGCATGATTGACTATGCAAAAGATTTGGGATTGAACCTTCCTTTCAAGTCAACTGATGTAGACGCTATGCTAGCTAAGAGAAATGTGGAGCTTACAAGGTATAATCCCCCCGGCTTTTTATGCTAACTGTGTATGCATGGATTGCTTCCCTATTTATCCTCTCATTTCATTCTCTCCTACAATAGTGGGTTCGGTAGAAATGCAGAGGGAAGGAGAGCCTACTTGGCCTATGTTTCAGAAGGTATCCAACACTCACAAGACTGGGACATGGTGATGAAATATCAGAGGCAGAATGGATCCCTGTTCAATTCACCTTCGACTACTGCAGTTGCTTTTTCTCATATTCAAGATCCTGATTGCCTTCGCTATCTGTATGCCGTCTTAGACAAATTCGAGAATGCAGGTCTGTCCTTTCTAACTACAGTCCTCTAAAATCCTTGCCCCACCTTGTTTTCTAACATCTACTGCAAACCACTACGCCTATGTCCTTATTAGCTCCAGCAATATATCCATTGGACATACGCAGCCGCCTTTCAGTCATCGACACTCTTGATAGTCTAGGAGTTGCTCGCCACTTCACCAATGAAATAAAGATGTTGCTGGACAAGACATACCAGTAAGCAATTTTTGACTTCTCAGATGGCACTTGACATAGCTGAAAGCTTCCTTTAAGAACAAACTCATTGGAGTTTTCTAAGCTCTAGGATTGCAGTTTACCTGAATTTATGAGTGAATTCATGACACACCTATCACATAAACAGATGCTGGTTGCAGGGGGATGAAGATATATTTCTTGATACAACCACATGTGCTATGGCTTTTAGATTGCTGCGTGTCTATGGATATGATGTCTCTTCAGGTAATGCTGCTCAGATTCATGAAAATGGTGTTCTGGTCATCACATGGTGTTATTTTGTTACTGTCAGAACTTCTAACTAGCTGTGATAATATTACCTACAGATCGGCTATCTCCATTCTCAGAAGACTGTTTCTTCAATTCATTAGAAGGATACTTGAAGGACAAGACAGCCGTACTGGAGTTACACAAAGCTTCTCAAATAATTTATCGGGAAGAACCTATCCTGGAAGAAATAAGTTCTTGGACCATGAAATTCCTGAAACAGGAATTCTGCAATGGCTCAATTTATGTGGACCAACCTGGTGAAAGTATCAGCACAAAGGTATGATTTACTCAGGGTTAGTGCTGGAATGAAAAAGTTCTTCCATGGAATATGCTTGAAAAAGAAAAAACTCAGGAAGCACTGCAGAAGGAATCAATTTTCGGTGCTTGGATCGATCTCTTTCTAAGCTAACTTTCATTTCAGGTGCATGATGCTCTCTCATATCCCTATCATGTTGATTTGGAACGCTTAGGCCATAGGAGAAGTATTCACCATTATAGTGATATAGATAGCACTTGGACCTTGAAGACCTATTGGTATCCCTCTTTCCGTTTTCCTCAATCTCAAGTACCTCTAAAAGAATTTTACTTCTGCTCACTGTACTTTGCCTCCTTTTGGTACTAGTTGTCCAAACATTGGGAACAAGGATGTCCTTAAACTGGCAGCCGATGACTTCAACCTCTGCCAGTCGATACAGAAGAAAGAACTTAAGCAGCTAGGAAGGTGCGATTCTTGGATACTTTCCTTCTGTTGTTTGTTTATTACATGGTTGTTGAGAGGTTTATCATAGAAACATGATACCTATTCCAATGTATGATTTTGTTATCCTAGTTTTAAATCTTTATTTTTAGTTATCCTGCCTAGTTCTTATAGAGACGTGTTAGGAGGTTGTTAGCTATTCTTTCTTAGAGCTGTTACTTTAATATCGTGGAAGAAGCTTGAATTTGTCAACCATGGCTAAATTGTTGCTTGTCTTCTATCATTCTTAGGAACTCTGCCTTCATTTATACAGGTGGATTATTGAAAATAAGTTGGACAAGCTATCATTTGCGAGGCAGAAGTTAGGCTATTGCTACTTCTCGGCTGCTGCAACTCTCTATGCACCTGAATTATCTGATGCTCGCTTCTCGTGGGCCAAAAATGGCGTGCTTACAACAGTTGTGGATGACTTTTTCGATGTTGGAGGTTCCATGGAAGAATTAGTAAACCTTGTTCAGTTGCTTGAGAAGTACGTTACCTTCCACTATTTTGTTCTCACTGCTGCTTATCATTCTTCTTCTCTGTATGCAGTTTCAACTTAACGTTGTTGAAATAAATTGCAGCTGGGAAGTGGATGGAAGCACTGATTTCTGTTCTGAGCAAGTTGAGATCCTTTTCACAGCGATTCGTGGCACCATTCGTGAGATCGGAGACATGGCATTGGCACGGCAAGGACGTGATGTTACCCGTCATATAAACGACATTGTGAGTTAAAAAGCTCTATTATTTCCTTTACTTTCTCGGTTGCACTGTGACCTAGTAGGATTCCCCATTGTCATATATATCTCTTATGTGGGGTGATTGCTTACCATTTTCCGATTCATCATGGGATGAACATAATTTCCAGAGACAGGGTATTATGTGGGTATAATAGTCGAGATGGGTAGGGATATATAATCTTTATTTCTACCATTTGGTAATGTTGACTATTTGTGACAGTGGGTAGAATTGGTGAAGTCAATGTTGAAAGAAGCGGAGTGGTCAAAGAACAAGTGTGTGCCAACAATGGAGGAATACATGAAGAACGCACGTGTATCATTCGCATTAGGCCCGATTGTTCTTCCAGCTCTTTACTTAGTAGGGCCAAAACTCTCGGAGGAGATGGTGAGTAGTGCAGAGTATAAGAATCTGTATGAAGGGATGAGCACTTGTGGTCGCTTGCTCAATGACTGGAGAGGATGCTCGGTAACAAAAACGTTCTCTCTACATCTCTATTCATAACTCAAAGCAAGTTTTGTGGGTTTGGCCATGAGTTTTAGACTGTATGTGTTACTATGGTTTCTGCAGAGGGATTCGGAGCAGGGGACGGTGAATGCAGTGTCATTGTTGCTGCTTGAAGGCGGCCGGACCTTGGATGACGCCGTGGAAGAGGTGAGGGAAGCAATCGAGAAGGAGAGGAAGCAATTGTTGAGGTTGGTGTTGTTGGAGAAGGAGGAGAAGGGAATGCCAAAATGCTGCAAGCAATTGTTTTGGAACATGGCAAAGGTGCTTCACCTTTTCTACATGAAGGATGATGGATTCACTAATGAGGATATCGTCAATGTAGCCAAATCTATCGTTAATGAACCCATCCACCTTGCTCCTTAATGATATGCAATTCGCCCGCGTCCAAAATGGTGATTTCTGAGTGCAGTTTTAAAAGAAAGAAGCTCTACTCTAATGGGAGTGGAATCGGGTCGCCAAGCAATTTTGCTTTGTGACATAATTGATCCACTTATAGATGGAAAAAGTGGTAACCAACTAGATGAGATTGTAAGAGTATTTATAGGTAGTCACAAATTTGGATCTTTCAAAGTTGGGGAGTGTTTATTAGTTGAGAGATCATCAAATTTGCCATTGTCGTCCGAATAGTGATTGGTGTTGCGGCTCATATGCGGGAAAAGAGATTTCCGGCCGAGAAATCGCATGGCCAGAGGCAGCGTAGTCGTCTGCAAGATATCTTTTTTTTTTTTTACAAATCAGTTTCAAAGGTGACTAGATCAAGGATTAATAAACCATATCGTACCGGCGGTTCGACCAGAAAAACCTCCTATCAGAAGCAAAACTAGTAGCGGTATTTACACGATTTTAGCATAAAATACCATATCGCTGACTTTTTCGGTACGACCTCCGGTACGGTATTTCAATCACTGAACTAGATATGCCCACTCGCTGCGCTTCGCGTCAAGCGAGTAATCTGAAATGTTAAATGTAATTGTAACACATAATAAACTAACTTGTAAAGAACACAAACCCAAAAAAATGCAGGTCTAGCTCTCATTTGATGAATATGAACATCTAAGCAGCTAAATAAGAATCGATGAAACACATTTTGCAATGACGTGAAACAAACAATAAGAAGTGGGCTTGTTGGCCAATGAATAGGTACTTACTGGAGAACAACACATTTTGAAAATCATTAATGTCTTGCTCAAGTACTACTATAGCAACTATGTTGTCCCACCTTGCGGGTGTCCTCAAATCTAGCAAATCGCTAAAGAGATAAATAATGGAGCCAAATCAAATACGAATTTCTAGTTGAAATCAATTAGTGTGGTTCTCTTGTTCTTATCAATAAGGATTCAAAATTGGAAAATGGACCGTCGAAACACACGTGATTGAAATACGCGTGATCAACCTATATTTAGTTAAATAGCCGAAAAGCTCACAAATATTGTTAATTTATAAGAACTCTATAAATGGGAAACGCGTCACCAATATACATGTGATTCAAATATGCGTGATTGATGGGTTTTTAGTTGAATAGTGAAAAATCTCAAATTAATATATAAAAAGATACATAAGCGTTACCGATATACACGTAATCCGAATACGTGTGATCGGTTGAATTGTAGTTGAACAGTTGAAAAAACTCAAATACGAACAAAGACGCCGATTTTGGGATAGAAAAATAAAAAGATAAAATAAAAAGAATAAAAAATGGATTATTCAAAGTATAATGAATAAAAAAATTAGACAAACATGTGTCCACAAAATGAAAAAAGAAATAAAAGAAGTGAAAAACTATACAAAAGCTTGTAGACTTAGTAAAATGTCACTAAAGTTAGATGCAAATTACACAACACCCTCTCAATCAATAGTAAACCCTAAACTATGGCTGGTACAAGCCCATTGATATTTGATAGGATCCATATTCCACAACAAAGTGCACTAGCCGGTAAGATTGATGACACACGGTTTCCATTCTTTACAGCACTGGGTTTGATTTTTTTTTCTTTTTTTTTCGGTTGTTGTTGTTTTGTGTAGGGGATCTTACTTGACTTGTTTTTGGCATCCTAATGAACTGCTATTTGCCGCCCGTAAGTTTACTATTTGCCGCCCGTAGTTATAATAATATTTACCATCTTACCCTTTTTCTTCAACCTCCATGTTAAGCCGACGACCATCGACCACTGCCACCTCCGGCCGCCCCTCCCCAGCTTCGGCCGCCGCTGGTCAAAACCCTCCCCTCCTTCACCTCACAGCCTCAAGGCCCTCAACGTTGACGACTCTGAGCCGCCGACGAGCGCGGTTGTTCCCCAACGTCATCGATCGTCCTCCTCCCCCGGATATTGTCGTTCTCCACCGTCAGATGGAGATGCTCGGTCCGCTCGCCGGTATCGGACGGCGTCCGAAACCCCGCGTCGGATGGGGTCCGAAACCTGGCGTCGGACAGTTACTTTTTTTTAAAAATCATTTTTGAATTGTTAATTATTTATTGAGTAATTAAGTAGTTATATTGTTTCAAATATTTATAAAATCACCCGTCAAAATAAAATATTTATAAAATATGATAATTAGGCAAATTAAAGGGAGAGTTTTAAGGAAAGATTGACTTTTTCGTTGATCTAGTTTTGGTAAAATTTTTGTTTGATTTAGACTTTAGCGGTGGAATATTAAATATAATTTTTTTTCCCCGCAAAGTCAGTTGTTATAAATTCAGACATACAGAGAAAATAAAAAGAGCGCGGGAGTCGACCAATAGTCGAACTCCCGGTGAGAGGGCCTTTTATGCCACATGATGGGCAGCCCTATTGAGACGACAGAGAACAAAACAGTAAAAAACCCAACTAAAAAGAGAAAAGTCAAGTTCTGAGTATCCTGCAAGATAGTCACCTGCAAGATAGTTCCATATAATATTTTTATGGTAAAATTTAAGGGAGATTTTTAAGGTAAGATTGATTTCCACTACCAGTTTCCCTAATTAACAACTGAGAATTCCTTTCGCTAATTAAATATTATATTAAAATAATCGTCGCCTTCCCAATTAAATATTATATTAAAATAATTATTAAATGCCAAAATTCCTCTAATTAACCCACATATATCGGATTCCGGGTTTTTTCCTTCGTGATTTTCGTAACCACCATCCTTGGAGATCCCGCAATTAAATTGATTTTTAATTAATTTCATACCATAAGCTCCTACTAATTATCTCGTACATAAGGTAATTCTGTGGGGCTTTGTAATTTGTTCCCCTTTTTTGTTTGCTACCTGAGGATAATTTAATAATTATTTACCTTTTTAGTTATATTAATTATGATTTAACATAATATAATCAAATATGGATTTGATCAAATTAGGGTTTAGTGAGATTAGGATTAGTAATCAAACTATGGTGGTCTTCACCTTCAAGGTTCGTCGGTGCACTACAGATATAATAAAACCTCTTTCCTAATTAAATTATAATACTGATATTGATATAATAATATTACCAATAATCCCCCATCTATCTCACTTACTATAGAATCCTAAACCATTATCATTTAATATAATAATAAATAATATTAATAATCACTTCTTTCCAATTAACCTCCTTCGATTATATAAAAAAAAATCTCCATCAGACTTTGCTTCCCGTGAAATACTCTCTCCCTCCTCTCCTTCTCCATCTCGACTTTCAGACAGGTCCGACGTCGGAGGTCGGACCCGGGTCCGACCGCCGGCTTCGGACGGTGGCGCCAGCAGGTGGTGGTCTGGCGGCGGCAGGTGTAGTGGTCTGACAGCGGCGCGGCGGTTTGGCAGCGGCGCGGCGGTCAAACGGCGGCGGAGGTGGTCTCATTCGATGGCTCCGGCGATGGTGGTTCAATGACGGTGATGGTCGACCGACGGTGGTGGCCGGTCGGCGCTGGTGGTCGGCCGGCGGTGGTGGTCTGCCGACGATGGTGGTATGGTGATAGTGTGAGGGGTGATGGAAGGAGTGTTGATAGGGGCAAAAAAGTCATTTTAATTTAATACCCTGGTGGCAAATAGTAATGACACGTACAACAAATAGTAACCCTCATTTCTTATGTTTACTTTTGTAGTTTTGTTCGCTCTAGTCAATGAAATTGGCAAACTCTGATGGCTATATAACTGCAAGGAGACAAAACTCTGATGGCTATAGCTGCAAGGAGAGAATCGTCCCCAAGTTTGATTCTGTGAAGCTAAGGAGTGAAAGGCGCCAACACACACAGTCTCTCTCTCTCTCTGGTTTGATCATCTTCCGCAATTCAGAAGAGTGGTGGCTTTTGCTTGCTTACGGTCACCATTCCTCTCTTTTTTCTTCCTTTATCTCTATTATATTCTTCAGAGAGTTGTGTTTGGATGGGAAGTTCTCAATTTTCCAGCTTTGAACATAATCAGTGGAATTGTGCAAGCTTTCGATCCAATCAATTGGTATGATTGAAAGAGACAACCCCTTTTCTTTGTCTTTTTTCCAAAACATGATTGGATCTATCCAAGTCTCAAAATCTTATAAGTTTGTTTTCAAAAAAAAAAAAAATTCCTATAATTTGTCTCACAAATCGCAATGACTCTAATCTCAACAGCTTTTACCACAACATGCAATCACAATTCGCAAGATAATACTTTAGCACTGCTCTAAAATGGGTTAGGTTTCCATACAAAATCCATTTTTTATTTGGAGTTGCAAAATCAAATGCGATGGTTGTTATTCGGAAGAAGATATCTGATGGTAGAGTAAGGAGGAAAATTATGGATTTTGGGGACAATTAAGTGAATCTCTATACACTAAGTTAATGTACTTTTTAAATCTCCTACAAATTTTCAACGAGACCATATCTCATTTGTTTTATTTCGAATTCAAAATAAGTTGCACATAAAAATCAAAATTTATGTGCTCTGCAAGATGATGCCTATGTTGATGTTCTTTTAGAACAAATTTGTGTTGGTCATCTTACCTCTATCATATAGCAATAATATCATGATATGACAGTGATATGATGATGTTATCACAATGATAATTTCATGATATGATACTGATATAATGATGTTATCAGTCTACAATAGTAGTAAGATTATGACTGGACAGCTGTGAGATATTATTATGAAGTCTTACCGTAGTGGTAGTATCAGAATGATAAGATCATATGAAGTCCTGTCATTGACCAAATTTTTTGATGTCATCATATCATGATATAATCATATTCTCATAGTGATAATATCATGATACGGTAATGATATGATAGTGTTGTCAGTCTTATTATGACCTATCTTTGCTTTGCTAAAAAAATATGGCAAAATAGATACCATTATGTATTATCATAATTAGTGAATTCTTTCAATGCAATTTTTTTTTAATTTCAAGTTAAAATGAATGAGTTATGCTATCATATCATCATGATATGATAATGATAAGATCACCAAAAAACATGTTTTGAATGTTTTTTTTTTTGTTTAAAAATATAGCAAAATGGATTGTGTAGATAATAATTAATGCATTATTTTATTCAAAAAATTTTAAATTCCAAATTAAAATGAAGGAGGTGACTCAATTAAGAAAAAAAAAAGAGATTGGAAAAACTAAGTTTTGAATGATAA